CTACTTCTTTAGTTCACACATCCCAGCTATTAAATATATGGTTTTATGGTCACCCGTTGCACTGTCTCCAATAAGAGATCTTTCTGGCAGGCATTCAGTAGGTATTCGGGCACTTCTCTGGGTCTCTCAAACATGAATTTCCCCCTTCTTCAAGTGGAATACAGGAGACCTTTGCCACTTCTTAGTTTTTAGCCACTGGGGTAGTTGAGTTGGAGAGTTTCTCACCAATTGTGCAATCCCTATGAGGAGAATCCAAGTGGGCAAAACAATGCTGTGAGAAGTAGGACAGTAATGACCATGCTATTATAGTGCAGGTCACCCCCTATTATATAATATGCCAGTTTCTTTGTGTTTTGGCCAACCTGATGGGGCAAAGTGTTCTCTTGCTACATAAAGAAGGAACCTTCATCCCCATTCATATTATGCACGTTGGAGATTTCCTTTCTGTTTGTGTACAGCACATTTCAGTGGGAAGTAGAGCAGTGGTGGCACTGTCAGTTAGTGTGTTCTCCAACTGCAGCAGGATGGGTTATTTGCCCTGTCTCTGTCCAGTTGAGTCAAGTCAGATACACATCATACGATCTGATTGCACCTTAACCACACTACACTTACTGGATCGCTGACCCCTAGCATGCTAGTGCTCAGTTGATCATGCAAGTATTCTTCCCATCCCTACAACACTTAAAGCTGTTTTGCCTTTCATTCCCTTTCCTTCTGTGCTTAGAGTATACTTTGGTTGAGACAAGATATGCTCTCACTCTGATGTGCCTCCATGGAGCCCCTGCCATAAAGTGTCACACTTTATGAGCTTTCCCTTTGGGTGCTTTCTAAAGGGAGTTCATCTATGTTTAATATTTGTACTGTGGAGGTAAGGTATCATTCCATAAGTTAAATTTTACCTTACCTGAAATGAATTTCCGATAGATACGCACCTCTGCAAACCTATCCACCCATCCACCAATTTCTGATGCAATTTCTTCTTGCCTCATTTAAGGATGAAGTTAATTAAGCGCAGGTGCTTAGAAGAGCTACTACTCAAGGAGGTTATGTCATCCTTCTACTGGTGGAAGGCTATTGTTGCTTGATGATGACATCATGCACTAGCATAGTTCATGTTAAACACATGCTGTTTAGGTGAGAGGTAGCTAGTTGCATGCAAAGATGTGCATAGAATTCAAACTATTCTGAGTGTAGAGGAAAGTATCTATCAAAAATACATTTTGAAATAGGGAAAATATTAACTTTATTTAAACTTAAATAACCCAAAATTTTGCAGTGGGTGCTTCGAGCCAGTTTATTTCTCTCTAGTTAGCAGCTCAAAATCAGTTACAGTGGCAGATAGCTTTATTATCTTTTCCATATGAAAGACAGGGTAAGAAAATTTGGTAACATTCAAAATCAAACCTCGGACTTTTGAATCCCCCCCCCTTCCCTCCCATATCATTCAGGCCAAGCTGCAAGAAGCACATGTGTTATAAATGCAATTTTGACATTTTTAAGAAGATTCATAATGATTTTTGGAGGAGTTCAGTTGCTTTTTTTTTAAGAGAGCAAAGGACTGTTGTGGAAGTCTTTTGTTTGTCTTGCTATGTTTATATATCCTGATTATGTCTGTGAATTGCTGATTGTGACAAGCATTCAGAAAGCTGAAAAAGGAATTGACCACTACTCCTGTACTGACATTCCCAACTCTAGAAGATTCAATCATTTTACACACTGATGCCAGTTATTCTGCAGGGTGAGCAGTTTTGTCAGAAGTACAAGATGGAAAAGAACATAATTGCCTACTATAGCAAGGCAGTGAATGTCACAGAAAGGAGGTATTGTACAACTTGAAAATAGCTACTAAGTGTTGTTCAAATCCTAAGTCATTTTCATCACCATCCATATGGACAAATGTTTACACACTAGACAGATCATGTAGCATTGAAGTGGCTAATGAATTTTCACAATCCATAAAGCTAAATTGTAAATGGCTCCAGAAACTCTAGGAGTACAATTTTACATTCATGCACCACTCTGAACAGAATCATGGAAATTGTTAAAGCATAATCCCAAAGACCACATGCTCATGAAGAGTGTAAACACTGTTGAAGAGGGAGCACATGATAGAAAAGACTACCAACCTAAGATAATGAAGTGTAGTCCAAGATGTGGCATCCACAAGAACTGGTGTGGTCTAACACTCATCTGAAAGACTCATAGGCATAAGATATGAGCTTAAAACCAGTTATTTGATGGCTCAAGAATAGTGCATAAATACTTTTATGGAAAATGGTTGTTCCCTAAAGCCTGAAAAAAAAATATTGGGTTAGGTAGGATTCCTTATGCTTACAAGAGGACTTACTGTGTCAGAAAGGAGACAGTGGACAGAAATATGAGCTACAGTTGGGACTTCCTCAGTTTCCACAAGGGACAAGATGCCATCCCATATGTATACCATGGGCCTTGGAAGAGAAAACCACCAAAAAGACTTGATTAATGGACGGTTTAGTGTATCTTTATTTTTGTAGTCTTAGAATATTCTAGATTTTGATGTCAAATTTTCTAAGAGTGGATTATAAATATCAGAAGCATCAAGAAGATAGTACAGTTGATTTTACTAGGAGAGTGAATCAGACTGTGTTTTTATTTTTTGTGAAGTATTTGGATCTGTGTTAGCTTTCATGCATATTTAGGTACTTTATACAAGTAAAGTTATTGTCATTTGTAAATGTGGCCTAAGAGCTACCACAGTGCTAGAGAGTGTAAAAGCATTAAGGAACAAATATACCAATTTGTTATCATTTACATGGACTGGACCTTGAGTTCTTTTCATCATGTAGTTTTGAAGAACTCACCAACAAAAAAAACAACATATTCAACAATATATATATATATATACACACACACACACACTCACGTACATTACAATATAAGTATAATTTGTAGTTTGTTGATATCATATATAGATACATTCTGTTTTACTAAATTTTATTGAATTTTCTTAATATTGAAAATCTTTCTTGACTTTCATATATAGTATACTTTAGGGACCCAAACTGTCATTGCACATAGCTGTCTAGTCCTCTCTGTTTAATAGCAAGTCAAGCATATTAAAAATCATTTGAAGTGAAAACTGTAAAACTTCTTTGAATAACTGTATAAAACAAACACATTGGTTGAATATTGGAAGAACAGTAGTAACATGGTATGAAACATGTCATGAACTTCATTTAATTTACACCATTTCTTGCTTTTCCTGTGAGAAACTTTAGATTTTGTATTTTATTATGAAAAACTTCGTTTGTCTAATTCTTAATTAAATATTTTGCACTTTTTAGATTTTTTAGCATTTTTATATTAAAAAGTGAGGTATCCTAATATCATCCTTTGTATGAACTTGTTCTTCTTGGAAAATATTTTGCTGATACATAGTAATTCATATCAGTACTTGTAAAATGTGAAATTATAGTGATTAGAATCAGTCTTACTACACAGAGTTTTTAGATTTCATTTAAATTGTAAGTTACAGACTTTTGCCTTTTTGAAGATTTAAGTTCTATCTTAATAATTTCTAAAGTAGTACATCTGTTATACCTGCTTTATTAAAGAAAATAGTGGTTTCAAACACTAACCTAATTAAGATTATAGAAACTTGTGTACCTATTTATACTAATGTTCACATTATTTTCATGGTTTTTAGTAGACCTGACTATTGACCTGGTGATATACAGACACAGCATATATGTATTAAAACATCAGGTTTCCATACATATAATTTAGAACAGAAAAGTTATTTAAAACAACATTAGCTTCTAACAGAATTATACTTCAGGAATGCATAGAAAATTTGCTAATTTTTACATGATTTAAAAGCAAATGTTTGAACACTTTTTTATCTGTAAGTGGCTGGAGCATCAACTTTTGTAATCATCCACTATATTTTTTGTATACTGTCTTTTCAATTTGTTCATAATGATTGCTAAGGTAGCTAAGGAGTTTAGATTATATAGGTAATAACTCAATTCATCTTACCCATTGAAGAAACATCAGTTAACTGAACTTTTCAGAATGCATAACAGTAAGCCCAACTTTAGCAGTTTATTATAACACCAATAAAACAATACAATTCATAAACAAACTGTTGCACCTAGTTTTAGAAGGTCTGTACTTTTTTTTTAAGTATATTAAATATTTATAAATTTTGATAAATAAACTATTTAAGAAACTTGGAAAATACAAATAAAAATACCAATACCATAATTTTAAAATTATCACATATTAGAATTCTACTACAAAAAGAAGCCAGCAAATATTGAGGTAAATAAGACAAAGTAACTTGTTCCTTGTTGAATGAAATTTATGGTCCTGTATGCATGACTTATAAACTAAGAAAATATTTCACTAGTAGTCTAGCTTGTAAATGTTTAAGTCTATCATTTACTTAACCAAACAAATTATTGAAATAAAAAATTTGGAAAACTAGAGGAATTATGTAGGTATATATTAAAAAATGTTTTTTTCTCTTACATTTAATAATGTGTGAAGAAAAACAAAATTCATCATAGACTACAATGACATTATTGAGCTGACAGTTGTTATCCTTGAAAGTTCAATAAGGTAGCTTGTGTCTGCATATTTATGAAGGTCTACATTTAAAGAAAAATTTTTTTTTCTGTCATCTAAATAGTTATTGTATGCCTTGCTAAATAGAAAATGAAAATCATGGCAAGCCATTGCATTAGACATAACAATAATATGTAATAAATAAATATATATATTGAAGTCACATAGATAATTTTTGTATTTTAATTGTAATATTCCCTGATATGCTATATAAGATGATATAGTGTATTTCCTTTTTTCTTAATACCATCATTGTTGTAGAGGTGTTTAATATTCAAAAAATAATTAATATTCATGTATACATGATACTTATAATTTTCCTTTTGAAAACTATATTTAGTGCCTAAAATTTCTTACTCATTTTCTATTAAAATATTACTTTAATCTTTCAGACAAGCAGATCTTTTCCGAATCTTGAAGGCCTACTCTATATTTAATCCGGCAGTGGGTTATTGTCAGGCCCAAGCACCTGTTGCTGCCGTATTATTAATGCACATGCCAGCAGAACAAGCATTTTGGTGTTTAGTAGCCATCTGTGAGAGATATATACCTGGTTATTATAGTCCTGGACTGGTAAGTTGTCTCCTCTGCAAGACATGTATCTGTTATTATAGTCCTGGACTGGTAAATTGTTTCCTCTGTGTATGAGAGAGATATATATATCTGGTTATTATAGTCATGGACTGGAAGTTGCTTTCTCTGTGTGTGCAAGATATGTATCTGTTATTATAGTTCTGTAAAAGTAATGTGTTTCCTGTGTGTATGAGAGATAAGTAAGTAGTTATTACAGTTCTGGACTGGAAGCTGTTTCCTGAGTGTGTGAGATAAGTACCTGGTTATTATAGTTTATAGACTGTAAATTGTTTTGTGGATGTTTGAGAGATAAGTACCTGGTTACTATAGTTCTTTACTGGCAACTGTTTCCTGAACATTTGTGAGATAAGTACCTGGTTATTATAATTCTAGACTGGAAATTGTTTCCTGGATGTTTGAGAGATAAGTACCTGGTTATTATAGTTTTAGACTGGAAACTGTTTCCTGGGTGTTTGAGAGATAAGTACCTGGTTACTATAGTTCTTTACTGGCAACTGTTTCCTGAACATTTGTGAGATAAGTACCTGGTTATTATAATTCTAGACTGGAAATTGTTTCCTGGATGTTTGAGAGATAAGTACCTGGTTATTATATTCCTGGATTGGGACTTGTTTCTTGGGTGTATGAGAGATAAGTACCTGGTTAATATAGTTCTGCACTAGAAGCTGTTTCATGGGTATGTGAGAGATACAGACCTCATTATTCTAGTTTTGGGCTGAATGTTGTTTCCTCTGTTGTGAGAGATACATACTTGGTTATTATAGTTCTGAACTGAAAGGTGTTTCCTCTGCATGTCTGCTTCTTTGAATGATACATACATGGTTGTTATAGTTTTGGACAGTTCTGGACTGCTAAGTTGTTTTCTGTGTATGAGGGTTACATACCAGGTAATTAAGATTTGGACTACTAAATTGTTTCTTGTCTGTCAAAGATATGTAACTGTTTATTATAAAGCTGAACATTCAAGTTATCTTCTGTATGAAAGATACATACAAGATTATTAAAGACATTGAATGATAAGTTTTCTACATGAATTTGAGAGAGTTAACTATCAAGTTGTCCTTGTGCAAGACATGCAAGTTGTTTCCTACATTACTAGGTCATTATGTTTGATCAAGCTGTGTTCTCAGTCATTATATACCAGTTCAGTTAAGAACTTCTATAGTTGCATTAGCATTGTTCCTTCCTTCACATTTGCATATTTCTTTATTCAAGCAAGTTTGGGGTCTAGTGATCAGTCCAGTGTAAATTTAGTACTTTCAAAGTTTTCCATAATTTGATTATAGTAATACGTTTTGCTCTTTCTTTTGATATTTCAGAAACCTGTACATTATGAACAACTAACTTGTGCATGAAATATTTTTGTTTAAACGCTATATAACTAATAAAACTAAAAATTGACATTCCTGGAAGCTGTACATCTGAATTATTGGTTAACCTAGTTTGGGGGGTATACAGAGGTTGAGTATGTTATGTTAAAATGATTTTGAAGCTTCGTCATGTTGTTACAGATCATGTCGCCATGAAAAAGGCTCTGGCATAAGACTGTTATGTCCAAAACACTACCCCTTCCTGCATGCTTTCCATAATACCTGTGTGGGGACAACGGCTTCCCAGTGCTTGTTTCAACAGTCTGATCACACAGAAATACATAGGCATCATTCAGCAACTTGACAGGTATGTCATTGTATGGAGTAACATGAATACTCAGTGCATTGTCCAGCTGCTTGATATATGCAACAGTTGAATGGGAGGTATGACTTGAATTCTTATTACTTATATTCGTGAACTCATACTCTGTTGGCCTCATTTTCAGGCAGAGATCCTTTCCTTATGTTGCATGCTATTGTTTGGGGTGCATGATCAGCTTTTACCAGTGAGCTTTGTGTTTGTGGGATCTTACCTATTACAAGAAAATGCACTTTGCTTACCATGACTGGGGTACAGCTTGTTGCAGGACTCTTTCTGGATGGTCCTGGTTCCCCATTTTGATCCATATTCCTTTGTTTTCCAGTGTCATTAAATACAAGGGATATTTCCATCTTTGAAGTTCTAAATTCCTGATCTGAACAAGTATTTATGGTCTGAAGATGGGAATGTTTTGTGTATGAAAGCAGTCAGATTTTGGTGCCATAACATTACCTACAAAATGTCAGCATATAGTTCTGATATGTTCTGTTCCACTGCACCTTTATATTGGCTGTCGTCATGTGTTCAAAATCATTTTTATATAATGTAATGAACCCTCTGTAGTTGTTTTCTTGTTCACATTCCAGAAAATTGTGCATTTGGAATGTAGTTTCTGCAGGAGTAATTAATGTGATTTACATTTATGGAACTTTACAGTTATATTATGTAACTAGTGTAAGGAATAGTGTTTATGTGACGGGAAGCAGTAGAGTTGGAAAATATCACTAGGTAAGGGTACATGTTTACCTTTGAAAAAGTTCTGTGATGAAAATATATAACTACTATAAAAAGTTTTTGAAAATGTAAATAGTATTGGAGTATGTATTTATATGAATATATATATAATAGATGTAGTTAGATAGATAGATATAGTTATAAAACTATTGGTTTTCTTCCTATATTATGAAAGCTTATTTAGAATGTGCAATTAGTTTTTGCTCCTATTTACACTACAAGAAGCTATACAGTTAAAATATCTAAGTTGCATATGTGTATATATTTTTTCTTCTTACATTCCAGGAAGTGGTATAGTTAGAATATACATCTAGTGTAGAAGTATTGTTTGCTTCTTGTTTAATTGCTCGAAAGCTTTGTGATTGAAGTATCTGACTTGTGTATCAATACATTTTGTTTTGCATGTTCTATATTCCAGGAAGCTGTACAGTTAGATGGTGACATAATGTTTGGATTGTTGAAGAAGGTATCTCCTGTGGCATATAAACATTTGGTAAGGCTGAGAATTAGTATAACATTTAGATACGTCTTTTGAATAACATGGATATATTTTTATCCAGTGCATTATAATAATGGGGTAAACATTAGTCATTAGGTTATTTTTCACACATAACAGATATATTACTTAAAACAATAAAGAGAGACATAAATCATATGGTCATTTATTACTCTTTGATGGCTTTGTTGTAAACTGTTTTGACAATATTTCAATCAGAATCTAAAAGAAAATAATTTTTATATTTTGTTTTGACATTTTACAAACAGAAAGTTGGGTTTTCTAATGTTAAGAACAAGAAAATGCTAACACTAACAAGCTTTATAAAATATAAACTATAATTTTGACGTATTACAGGCAACTCAAATGAGAGTTGCAAATTGAGTTCTTCATAGAAACAGAAAAGTGTGTTATACATACCACCATGTTGATTGCTTCTTGCTCTTGTTTATGAGCAGTGTTTCTCAAAACTACACACACACACACACACACACACATATATATATATATATAAATCAATAATTCTAATGCTATTAAATACATTAATTGTCAATAGGCAATTAAATCAGCACTGTAAAACGATAATGAACTTAATACAAAACAAAAACAACGTTATAAGGAGACAGTCTCATTATAATGTTGTTTTGTTTTGTTGTGTGTGTGTGTGTGTGTGTGTGTGAATATATATGGTATTAGTTATTGATAATATGCGAGTGTAAAGAAAATCCATTCTTAAACAATTCATTTTTTAAACTGTTGCTTGATTTTTATAAGGAACTTTAACAAATATGTACTGAAGGAATAACTGTGAGAACTTCTATTGTTTTAAATTTCAGTTGAAGAGGTGGAGATGTTGTATATAGTTAAATCTATAATTTTTCCATTGTAGTTCT